TAGGTTAAAATTAACATCAAGTGTCCCTGAATTGAACAAGGTAATTTAGTGTCTATTGAACAAATTGAAATTGATAACTGTTTTGTCCCTAAATTGGACAAAAATACTATTTAATATCTTTATATTGAAACTTGTGTCCTTTTTTTTTTCATTTTATGAAAAGGTTGTACCTAAATTGATAATATACCACATTTGAAAGCCAAAATCTTTTAGAAAAATTGAACATTAATCGATTTCAGTTACATAAAATTACATTGATTTACGATTTACTTAATTTTGCATGGAACCAAAATTGAGATTAACAAATTGACTTCAACATGATATTAAAGCTAATAATTTAATATTAGTCAGTGTAGTCTAGAGGAAAGAGTTCCTCACGGAACATCATCGTGAAAGGATGGTCATAATGCATCTGGAATGATCTGATTTTTTTCAAAAAGGAGTTTTTGAATTGATCTAGTCTCAGCAGGATGATCAAACATATTATGGACGAGGTCATATGGATAAGACAAATGAAATGTGACTTGATACTGAGAAAAATATAGGTCATTAGATCTGATAGAGTGATGTCTGTGAAAAAATATTATAGACCATGCTATTTTGGTAGACATATGACCTTTGTATCGGGTAAGTTAGTGAGCAATAGTGAATATAAAACAACTACGTAAATAGAGAACATGAATATAAATGAAGAACATGTACATAAATGAAGAACAAGAACATAAATGAAAACATAAATATTAAACATGTTAAAGAACATAAATTAAAATATATATGAGATCTCTTGCTATCTATAACATTATCAGAGTATTACAACATCCTTGAGGTTGAGGGAAAGTTAACAATATAAAAGAAACATGGAAGAAATATACTAAAGATGTGTAGAGAAAGTACGGAAGTATAGAGAAAATATGGAAGAGAAAGTGAGATAACAATTTCCTAACACGATAGTAAAGAGAGATGTCTCATCTATTTCAAGTTCGAACCGCCCATATCTCAGTTTCACTCAATAAAATCTGTTGTTTCGAAATAATAGTGGACATTTTGTGCTTCAAATGTTAATTGATGTGGAAAATGACAGAGTTACGGAAAAGTTTATACCGAATTTGTGTACTGAATGATATAACAAAATCCTGATCGTTGATTAATATTAATTGATAATAAATCAACGATCAAGATTTAACTACGTCATTCGGTGCATAAATTCGGTGTATACCCGTCGGTAACTGTAGCATTACTCTAATTGATGTAGAGATTTATCATCTAAAATATTATTTACATATATTTTATAATTTGGGGTTTTGGTTTTAAAGTTGAAAAATGCTAGCCTTATTCACTCCCTCTACTCAATTCTCTTAGAGTATCTCCAAAAGACTCTTTATATGACTCAAATTCTTTATTATAAAGAGTTCATCCATAAAAACAAGAATCCAACAGACTCTTTATCTTTAAAATATAAATTAGAGAGTGAGTTTGACTCTCTACATCCTAATTTTACTTAATAAACTACAAGTTTTTATGTATTTTATTTATTGATTATCTCTCCTATTAAGTCTCTCTTTTAAAAATAAAAAGCATCTTCATTCAATTTAAAGAGTTTATTGGATTTAAATAAAAATTATATTCTTTATATTTAAAAATTAATGATGATGCTCTTTATTTATATAAAAGATGCTCTTCAAAATAAAGAACACCATTGGAGATGCTCTTACTCACTTTTGTTAAAATGACATATGATATTCGTATTATACTTATGGTATCCTTATTATGCTTTATATTTACAAAGGTGAATAAGAGAAGTGAGTAGGGAGAGTCAGTAAGGCTAGGATTAGTCTTTAAAGTTTCACTTTGGATATGGATGCAGGTAGGACATCGTAGTTTACTTTTACAGTAAGTAGGCGATAATTGAAGAGAGTTCAATTTCAAATTGTACCTATTCTTGCTAATTTTTCCTCCTTGAACTGCAGAAAGCTCGAATTTTGAGTCTTCAAGGTAGGCTTCCACTGGAGTTGGTGAACCTTCCCTATCTAGAAGAAATGTAAGAACAATTTATCATCTCTGGTTAACACTTTTCGGGAAGGGTGTACCCCATTATTTGTTTTGAGATCTTTATATAATTACTACTTTTCTTCATAATTGTGTTTGTTATGTGTCTTCTCATTAATAGATTTCTAACCCCCGTATGTTGAATTGCTTAAGGTACTGTTCATGTGCCTTCAGCAACGGTCGTTCCTTAGAAGCGTTACACAAGATGGAACGGGAGTTCCAGGTGTGTGAGGATTTCGCGGTTTGGCATGGCATCGTGTATCTGTGTTTGGATGCTCTATTGGCTGAATCCTAACACCTACCCTGCGTCCAAATAAGAATATTATCAAATTTAAATAAGAAAAAAGTTGAAGACATAAAAGACCCATTTCTCACCCGTATCTAATTCCCTATCTCTCTAATCCGGTCTCTTTCATTTCTCCGGTTCTCCCCTTCAATCTTAGCCTGAATCAAGTGAATCCGACATGAATCAACCCTTTCCAACGGTTACCGACTGAAATTTCCCGACCCGGCAACCTTCGCTTAGTTTCTCTCAATTTTACTCGCCACAACAGTTCTCCGGTTCCAGTAAGTGCATTTTGAGGCTTTTTTTTTTTTACTCTCCTTTGCATTATTGTTTATCTTCAATGTGGTTTCTTTATGTACCGTGTTCTTTCAATGAGAAATTGTCCGACTGTGTTCTTATTAACGGCACGGTTGTATGTTTTAGGTTAACGGCTGACGGAAAGTTCCTGTGGACGGAGGGATTTCAACAGAAGGAGATTCTCCGTTTCACTGTGGACAGTAATAAAATTAAAATCAGAGCAATTATAGAGAAAGAAGATGGAATCTACCGTGGTGGGAGAAGTGATGGTTTAGTGAGGAAGGATTTTGTTTTCTGCTTCTTTCACGAGAGTCTCGAAGACTATTGTGCCAAAACCTCCGTGAATATCTTGATTTGGTAAGTTCAGTAGAAAGTTATTTTACTTGTTTATTTATTTTTATTTTTATGCCTTATGTTTGTTTTTATTTATGTGATAGGTAGGCCGAAGAGGCCATTTATTTTTCAGAATTCGTTTGGTGGGAAGAAACCGGCATCAAAGGTTTTTCTGGATAATATCAAACCACTGTTATTTATTTATTTAATTTATTTTTAGTTGTTTTATTTAACAACTGGAACATTATGTTCAGTAGACGAAGGAAATTGCCAAGCTGTTGGGTTGTTTTTAATTCTTATCAGCGCTGGTGTTACAATGTAGTGTCGACCATGTGTTTGTAGAAATTATATGAAGCTTTTTATCATATGATTTTTTTAACAATAAGTTGTTCATGATAGTATGAAACATTGTTTCTAGAAATTATCTGAAGCTCCTTTTGGCTTGCGAATTGGTTTGATCTTGAAGCTGCAGGCATTGATAGGTCAGTTTTGTAAATTGGTTGTAGTGGTTAATTACTTGCCTGACATTGCCTGACTCTTTGTGCTGCACAGCAACGTCAACTTAGTTACTATTAGCTGTTTGCACTTGGTGATAGTACCAGCCATAAGGTATTGGAGGTTCATAGCATTCAGCACCTAGAAAACATATTTATAAGCTTAAGTTAACATATGCATGTTTTGTTTGACTTTCCAATAGTTTTATCTGCTCTTTGTCTCACGCATTGTTTGTGTGGTGGTGAGTCTAAACCTGCCATTGAGCTCATGATCAAAGTATGTATCAGTCTTTAGTCTTTGGTCTTCAATGTTTAAATCTATAGATGCTTAACTGCAATGTTTATCTTATTGGAATAGGTTCCTATCTAGTTTCATTATGAGCTCTATGTTAGTTCGAATCAATATCCTGTTAACTCTCAATAAAGAACTGTGTTTCCATTTTTCAATTGCATATATACCATATGATGATACTATCTATTCTTGCCTCTCTTTGTATTCACATTAGGAACTTCTTTTGCTTTCTTTTGTTTGCTATGGTCTCAAATATGCTTTTTGTTTCATAGTTAGAAGTTGCAAGCATGAAGGGACTTTGTGGGTTTTGGTGAATCTGTTAAAAGAAATCCCAATGTTGAAAGAGATGTTATAGTTGGAGTTTTAGAGATTGGAATCTGGCCTGAATCAGAAAGTTTCATTGACGAAGGTTTCATCTTGCTCCCAAGAAGTGAAAAGGTTCTTGTGAAGGTGGCAAAAAACTCACTTGCAACAAGTAATGTGAGTTGAACATTGTGGTAAGGAGAAGTCTTCTTGGGTAGATTTGAGTTTCATGTGAATTTACGCTTAGTTTTTTTGTTTCCCTTGTATGTAGTATTGTCTATGTAATATGATTGCTGGTATAATTTGTTCTTGCAGCTCAAATACAGAATCCAGACATCTATTAGAAGCATCTTTTTGCTCAGACGAGGTTGCTAATATATACTCAAATACTGTATAATTAACATTCAAATGTGGTTGTTAATAAATCAAAACCTGGACGCAAGAAGTCAAGATGACATAGAGATCTTCGTGTCGTATATTCCCACAAAACCGTGCAAACCTTCCAATATTCCCGTGACCTCCTTGTCGTTTTCACGATTTTAGAATTGTAGCGTCGTTGCACTACTCTAGTGACCTCTGTGTTGTTTTCAATATTTAAGAATGGCAAAAAACGACGCTACGGCAGCGTTATTGCACTATTTCAGCGATCTCTGTGTTGGAACAAGTAATGTTTGCAGCTTTGGAGCGGTGCAACGTGTGTTGGATTTGGTCAATGCAGATTACATAAGCCATAATATTTTATTGGATAGCCGATTACATCCACCCTGAAATGACTCCAACTACGACGTGTTCTATTAATGTAGAATGGCGCTGGTGGGTGGCATCGGAAAGTTACAGTTACGGCGAGCCTACAACGACAAACTGCAGTACAATTTCTGGCGTCATTCTTCGGCTCCAGTAGTGCCTACAAGGCATGAAAGCTAAAGCATGCTGCTATAGTAATTATGTGGTGCCTTACTTGTATTGTGTCTATTTCATGCTTCTGCCATGTCCATACCAAAGTCCATACCGTGCAGAGCTTTTATTGACAGCCACATTTGTTAATATTCAAATGCGGTTGTTAATAAGGTCTACACATCACCTCTAATCTGAACTTAACTGAAAAACGACTGCTGTCTGAACAAACTCCTATCGCTGCAGCAACCATTTTTATTGCTGCAGGGGTCGGTCTTCAACTTCATGCTTGCCATCTTCTTGCCGCAACATTACATTTTTTAAGCCAGGCATCTTCAACTTCTACCAAAAGATTCATACTTCAACAAATATTACAATGATTTAAGATAGTTAAGCTTAACAAAATATGATCTTTTGTTGTATAGATTTTAGAATGAGATTTCATCTATATCTTACTAAAGTATTACTCTGTATGCTCTTTTATTTCTGGTCAAAATCCGACAGTTTTGATCATGCACTTGGAAAAATATATTATACTGATACTAATGATTGCATTATATATGTTCCAAATTATCAATCACTCCATATTAATTGTGGGGGCCCAAATGTGACTATAAACAATATCATGTATGAAGGTGCTAGACATGGAGCCGTATTGAATTGTTTTGGTTCTACTCTTATCGATTCAGAGTGCATAAGAAACCTTACATCAACGGAAGATCTCTGTCTACTCAATCTTGAGACCGTATCTTTGAACCCTAGTGAGAGTTCTTTGATTTTACATGATAGTTCTTGAGCTCAATTTACATATGATGAACTACAGAATCATTATAGATTTTTTTTTTTTTTGGTCCTAATTAATATTTATATTGCGATTGTGAACCATCATAGCTGGGATTTTTGGATTCTGACTAATATGTCGCTAATGCATTTATCATTGTAAAGAAACATTGAAACCTAATACCAAGATTATAGACTTCCATCATTTAACTTGTTAGTGTTCTGATATTCTCCTTATTAATTACACCACATTTATGTTATAAATTTTCTCTTGAAATCTCACTTAATACCAAGATCAATATAGACTTCCATCAAATTCTTCGAAAAATTCAAATAATATTTAAATTTTAAAATTGATTTTATTTTATTTTTTTTTGATAGAAAAAGAATCTTATTTTTTTTTAATAATTCATTCCAATAATTGGGTTTTACATATGGAAATAAGATGAGAATAAATTTCGATTAAATTTTAATTTACCCCCTAGTAAATATAAATTATACATTTGTTATTCTAAAAGTACAAAAGCTTTTGTTTCTAGGCTTCAACCCAAAATGTTTCCAAACTGTTTTTTAATAACTTAGAAGCCCACAAGATATTTAATTAGTCTTCACCTCTCCTTCTCAAGTAATGAGAGATATTACAAAATTTTTATTATATATAAAAAATATGATTTCATAAAAAAAAGAAATAGAAATAAGAAAATAGTCCTAAAATGTAAACTAATAAAGAATATATATATATATAATTTAATACTTAATAAATTTGAAATTCAAACCTAAAAATCATTTCTTGTAAATTTGAACATGAGATATAAAAATCTAAGAAGGAATTAAAATTGGTCTATTTAATTACTGGAGTGAGCAATTAAAACATGTTAAAACGTATAGTGTTCTTTATAGTAATTTAATTTAAATTAAACCTGTCAAAAGTTTTTTTTTTTTTAAAAAAAAAGTTAAAATGGGAGACTATTAAAAGAAAAGGTTAGAACTAAAAATCATGACCCATATTTTATTTATGATTTCCCCACCGCGTGATTATAAAAACCAAAATTTGGTCCAAATGAAAGGAAATAAAGGCTCCGTTTGGTTCACAATTGGGTGTTTTTGGGAAAAGTTTTCTGAAAAAAGTTAAAAAAAAGTTGAATTGGGCGGGTATTACGATGTAGGATTTATAAATTAATAAAATACCCCCTATATTAGTTTATTTACAAAATACCCCCTATAATAAAATCTTAAAAGTTAACAAAAACACCCTCAACCCAATGTCAAATACGGACAGCCGGCCACCACCACCGGAGGGTGGCCGGGTTCACCGTATTGGCACATAAACAGCTGGATCTTGCCGGTCATGCGCCGATATGGCCTTTGCCGGCCAGATCCACGGTGGATCTGGCCGACAAAGGCCAGATCTACGGCCAGATTTGGCCATATTTTCTCGTCAACGATGACCAACAAACGGTCGTCGTTGATGGTCAACGACAACCGTTTGTTGGCCGTCGTTATAAACTGTTACGGCCAAAGATCTAGCTGTCAACGACCAGATCTTTGGCCTTAGATCTGGCCTTTTCCGGTCAGATCCATGATCGGCGTACTACTGGCTAGATTCAGCCGGTAGTGCGCCATCCTAACAGATTCCGGCCATTTTCTGGCAGTGGTGGCCGAAATCTGGTAAATATGAATTACTGGGGTGTTTTTGTAATTTTTAAAAAAATATTTAGGGGTATTTAATTAAATTATAAAATTTAAGGGGTTTAAAAAAAGTTGAATAATATTGGGAGTAGTATTTCCAAAAATCAAAGTTTTTAGATATTTTACTGTTTAACTTTTTTGGGAATACTAAAAGTAGTATTCCCAATTGGCAACCAAACGGAGCCAAAGTTTGCCCAAATTTGGCTCTAAGGAAGTAGCACGGAAGCTCAAGTGAGAAGACAAAGAACTTGAAGAAAGAAAGATGTAACATAATGTGCAGTCTTCAAGGTCTTTTTTCAGTACTTAAAGCTTAAATTATAATTACTTGATTTGTAAAGATGGTAAAGATTTAAGAGAAAGGGAGCTAAGTGACGAACATTTGTTATAGAAGCAGAACTACTCACATAAGAGGAAAATCTTAACCCTAAAAGACAAAGACTTTGACTAGAGTGTCAATTACATTATTAGAATTTCATTGCTTAACATAACATCATTTTCTTAGCAGAAGAAAAGGCGAAACTAGTGTCCACATGGTGACATGATCAAGGGGGCAAGTAGCTGAAAATTTATGTGTAGAATTTCTCAACAAACAACAAACCTGGAATTGGAGACTTTTCAAGCACCAAGTCTTGTACGTTACAAGAGCCCGATTATACAGATATGTATATGTGGAGTTGCATTCACGATATTTTAAACATTATAATTGATTACAATGCAAGCGTGAGGACAATTCTATCAAAACGAGAAACACTTGACTAAGAGATTCTTTAGTTGATGAATTCTCAGTTCTCATCCTCCAATCATGCATAATATCATGTTCATTAATTTTAAAGAAGGTTGATTTTCATTATAATTATAGACAAGAATTGTTTCTTTCTCTTCCTCTTTCAATTACAACATCAATATTCAATATTCATCATAATCATGATGACAAAGACTTTAACTAGAGTGTCAACTACGTTATTAGAATTTCATTGCTTAACATAACATCATGTTCTTAGCGGAAGAAGAGACAAAATTAGTGTCCACAAGGTGACATGATCAAGGGGGCAAGCAGCTGAAAATTTATGTGTAGAATTTCTCAACAAAACAACAAACCTGAAATTGGAGACTTTTCAAGCACCAAGTCTTGTACGTTACAAGAGCCTGACCATACACATATGTATATTAGGGGTGGAAAAATCCGGTTAACCGGACCGGTTAACCTGTTGTTTGAACCGAACCGGTTTTCGGTTTTAAAAATAAATTGAACCGAAACCGGTCCGATTTCGGTTAGAAACCGGTCCGATTTCGGTTATAAACCGAACCGAAAATTCGGTTCGGTTAATCGGTTAACCGGTTTTTAAACCGGTTAATTAAAATTTATGATGGGCTGCCTTTTTCGGCCCAATTCGGTCACCATTATGGGCTGCATTTTTTGGCCCAATTCAGTCCCTTTTATTTTTTTTTTCCAGGTTTAATAACGTTGAAACTTGAAACACCAAGATCCAAAATCAAACAACTGAGTCATTTCTAACCAAATAACAATTGATTCTCAACTCCAAAATCATTATTCATTGATTGATGAAGTAACACAAAAAACTTGTAGTTCTAAATCATTCATTCTAAGTTCTAACTAACAAATACACAGCCATCAGTACATATACAAGAATTAAAACCAAAATCTTCAATGTCAAACCCCAGATCTGAAAACGTGACAACACAGATCTGAAAACCCACCGGCAACAGACGACGACGGCGACTGCGACTGAGCGACGACGACGTGAGAACGCAGATCTGAAAAAAGAAGAGACAATGAGAGTCTGACAGAGAGTGAGAGGCAGAGAGTGAGAGTGAGAGACAGAGACTAAGAGAGAATGAGACTGAGAAAACTGAAGGAGAAGAGATGGAGAAGAAGACGAAAAAAAGGTGAAAAGTGAAAAGAACTGAGACTGAGAAAACTGAAGGAGAAGAGATGGAGAAGAAGACGAAAAAAAAGGTGAAAAGTGAAAAGAATAAAGGGAGAAGAAGAAGATGAAAACGAAAGAGAAAAGTAAAGGAGAAGATGATGATGAAAAAGGAAGTTGAAAGAGAGAAGTGACGGAGAAAGATGAAAGAGAAAAGTGAGGAGAAGATTGAAAATGATGGAAAAGATAGATGAAAGAGAAAGTGGCGGTGGGCTTAATTATAATAATATGTATTATTTATTTTTGAGACCGGTTTTATATTTCGGTTTCGGTTAACCGGTTTAAAAATACATATAAACCGAAAAAAGAACCGATTAATAGGTTTATGAATTTTTTAAACCGAAAACCGAACCAGATTTTAGAAAAACCGAATTTTCGGTTCGGTTTTCGGTCCGGTTTTCGGTTCGGTTCGGTTTTCGGTCTTTTTTTTCCACCCCTAATGTATATGTGGAGTTGCATTCACGATATTTTAAACATTATAACTGATTACAATGCAAGCATGAGGACAATTCTAGATAATTGTAGATTTTATGTCCTCTAAGGTCTGTCTGCCAAAAATTTCCATGACTGAAGATGCTTCTTCAGCTTGGTTTGATAACTTAACGCTATAGACGTCTTTTCTTTTTCTAAATTCTTACAAGAGTGTTACTTGATATAGGTTTTAGAATGAGATTTCACTATAAAACAAAGACCTTAACTAGAGTGTCAATTACGATATAGTGTTTAATTAAATGTCCTACTCTGCAAAGACCTTGAGTAGGTGTCAACCACGGCATATTAATTATCCACGTGATCAAGGGGCAATTTCATAAAATTTATGTTTAGAATTTCTCCACAAAACAAAAAATTGGAATTGAAGACTTTTCAAGCACCAATGTCTTGCAAGTAACAAGATCTTGACCATACACATATGTATGGAGTTACATTCACCATACGATGAACGTTAGAGTCGTCACCTTCAGATCAACATCTATTTCCATCAGACTCCATTCACCTGTCGATACTATGTGAGCTATTAATTATCTAATTAGAGTTGCTATGTACAGTTAGAAAATTGAAGTGGTCCACCTTTGTGTTTTTCAAATTACATTGTTAAATAAGGAATGAATGCAAGCTAGAGACGCTTTTAAGTCAAGTCTAATACGTCAGTGCATACATGCATCTGACATTACAACAACTCGACCAGAATTCAAGAGGAAGCTCAACCGCCCAAACATTTCTTCAGATAAAACGTGGTTTGGATCTTCCACCACGTCTGCACATGATCTATACTCTATCAATTCATAGTGCACAAGAGACCTTACATCGATGGAGGATCTTTGTCCACTCAATTCTAAGACCATATCTCTGAACCCATGTGGGAGTTCTTCGGTTTTACATAATGTTCTAGAGTTTAATTTATGTTAGATGAACTATATAATTATAGATTTTTCGTCCTTTTAAGGCCTGTCTGCCATAAAATTTCATGACTGAAGATGCTTCTTCAGCTTGGTTTGAAGACGTTTTGTAATAATATTTCTATGTTAGTGTAATTTTTTAACAAGGCCATCCATTCTCAAACTAGGCGTATTTATTCTGCTTTATTCAATCTGGGGATATGTAAAATTACTCGATGCTTGAACATGTTATGTCAATGTTGTATATTATTATAAGTTCATCTTATTTTTCATTATTATCATATAGGTGAAGCTACCCGTCCAAGTTTTACAAAAAAATTTCAAATTCATACGTAATAATATCTTTTCACCCGTTAAAATTTATATTTTGACGATTTATTTATTTATTAAAATTTGTAGTTTAACCCCTCCAAATTTAACTCTACCACTTATTATCATTATTATCATTGGTAATTACAAGAGTATAATTTTAGTGAAACAATGAAACTTGTAGCATTTAACAATATCATACATTTACTTTTCCCCTCTAATAAAAAATACCAAAATCAGGTCCAAAGACGAGGCAATAAAGTTGGCCCAAATTTAGTTCTAAGTAAAAGGAAGTAGCAGTAAGCACACAGAAGCTCAAGTGAAAGAACTTGAAAGAAAAGATGTAACTTAATGGGCAATCTTCAAGGTCTTTTTTCAGACAAAGACCTTGACTAAAGTGTCAATTACGTACGTTATCAGAATTCCATTCTTTAACATAACATCATAGTTTTTTAGTGTCCACATGATGAAGGTGTCGAGAAAGTTACAGAAAATTCATGTGTGAAATCTCAGCAAAACAACAGACATGGAATAAACGAAGATGGAGACTTTTCAAGCACCAATATCTTGTAAGTTTCACATGTATCTTCAAGGTTTTTTTTTCAGTAGTTAAAGACAAAGACCTTGACTAGAGTGTCAACTACGTTCTTTAACGTAACATGATATTTTCTTAGTGTTCACATGATGAAGGGGCCGGGCAAGTTGCAGAAAAATAATGTGTGAAATTTCAACAAAACAACAGACATGGAATGACAACAGGAAATTCTTGTAAATTACAGTATGTGAACAATTACAGCTGCTAGATCTTTCTTAAGTTTGAACTGGTCCACCTGTGTCTTTTAAAATTGAAGTTTTCTTATTAAGCACAGCCATGCATAGACGTATGCATACATATTACTTTTAGATATGAATGCAAGATGGACGCTTATGTCAACTCTAACACGTGTGAGCATACATGCATCTGTCAATGCTAGAGGACAAGCAACGGTAGTATTAACATCAAGAGGTGTAATAAATTTTTATTTTCTGAGCGTGAAAAGAGTGGGGGATTTATTAATGATTTAAGGCAAAAATCAATATTTTAGTTAGGTTTAGATCAATCTCTTTCATCCAAACACGTTTTATACTTAATTGACAAAACTCATATATATAATTAGGTAATGTTCCAAACATTTGAATTAATTGATTAAACCTTACAAATTAAGTCTAACTTTTTTTACTTATTTATTTTTGAGTTTACTAAGTTACGAAGATGAAATTAGATCAAATATTTAAAGAACTAGTTTGATATTGGATTAAATTAAACTTTTGAGAAATCAATTCAATTGATTTAACTAGTTGATGGTTTTTCTAGTAAAAAATATATTAATAATCAAATCAATGCTTAAATTTAATTGCACTTATCCATGTCGTGTAGAATTAAACAATTACTTCATATAAATTATATGCTAGTTTAGTATATAGGTGTAGATTGAAATATAATCTACTTGAAAATATATTGCATTGAATTTCAACATCACATTATACTCTTGCATGTTGTCAGATTTCAATATTATTTTCAAATTGCCACTGTATTTCCAGAAACTCAAAAAAAGAAAGAAGTTAACGAGGTTTGCAAAGCTAGGTGACCGTAGATGCTCTATTTATAACTGGGTAAAATTATTTCATAGGATGCTAAGTTTAAATCAGAAACGTGTATTGGAATTCAACACTATCTTAGTTCTTGTTAGATATAGAAAAAATAAAATAAAAATTGAGATCAAGAACTTGACTAGAGTGTGAACCAGGTCATCAACTTTTATCATGGGGTAGAATTTCTCAACAAAATTGGGATACACGTCGGTGGTGCTTTTCAAGTTTGTCATTTTGTTAAGAAATTCTACACAAATTTTCTGCAATCTACCCAATGATGTGGACACCTTATTCTTCCACTAAGAAAAAGTGATGTAATTTTGCTTAGGAAGAAATTAATGGATCTAGTAGATAAGTTGAAGAGATCCACCTCTATCCTTTGAAATGAATACAAGACAAAGATGTCTTACTTCAGTCTAATGACTCTTACCATACAAGCATTAGTCAATGAGAGAGGACAAACAATATTAGTATCCACATCAAGAAGTTATAGAAATCTTTACTTACTGAGCGTGAAAATAGAGAGGGAGACTATTCAAGGACTTAAGTTATTTACCATGAGTTGCCTATATATATCATGTGTTTCCGAGTTATGCATTACACAATTAAAGAAACAATGGGGTTGTCAACCTTGAATAGAGTATTTTCACTTGTTTCCCTCATCTGGTTCGTTGTTATGTCACATTGTTCACCTTATGTTGCTTCCAGTTCTACTCAAGAAGCGTTAGCTCTTCTCAAATGGAAAGCCCACCTTCAAAACCAGAGCCCTTCTCTTCTGTCATCATGGACTCTTTCATCTGTGAATGCCACAAATACTTCTACCCACCTCAAAACCCAAATAAGCCCATGTACGTGGTTTGGAATCTCTTGCAACCATGCCAGAAGTATCATTGGTATTAACCTGACCAGTACAAATTTAAAAGGTACACTTCATGAACTATCTTTTTCATTATTTCCCAATCTTGCATTCCTTGATCTAAGCCTGAATGAACTCTTTGGTTTTATCCCCACTCAAATCAGTCACCTAACAAATCTAGAGGTCCTTTACCTTTCTGCTAATCAATTATCTGGCTCAATTCCCAAGGAGATAGGCAACTTGGACTCTCTTTCAGATCTAGAGTTAGACCAAAATCAACTGAGTGGCTCTATTCCTCCTTCCATTGGAAATTTGAGCAACTTAAAGGTTTTATGCCTCCACACCAACCACCTTTCTGGTGCCATTCCCAAGGAGATAGGCAACTTGAAGTCCCTTTTGGATTTACGGTTTTCCAAAAATCAACTGAGTGGCTCTATTCCTCGTTCCATTGGAAATTTGAGCAATTTAGAAATTTTATACCTCGGGAACAATAGCTTTTCTGGGGCCATTCTTGAAGAGATAAGGAACTTGAAGTCCCTTTGGTGTCTAGATTTGGGCATAAATCAATTCAGTGGATCTATTCCTCCTTCCATTGGAAATTTGAGCAATATTAAATATTTGAATCTTTTGGATAACAATTTTTTTGGTTCAATCCCTCATGAAATTGGATATCTGTCAAAGTTGATTAAATTAGAGTTGTCTAAAAATTACTTCACTGGTTCTCTTCCCCATAATATTTGTCGAAGCAAATCACTTACGCACTTTGTCATTGCTGAGAACCGTTTGCTTGGCCGTATCCCCAAAGATTTGAGAGATTGCACAAGCTTAATCAGAGTCCGCCTCAACAAAAACCACTTCATTGGAAATATTTCTGAAGATTTTGGCATCTATCCAAATCTAAGGTTGATAGATCTTAGCCACAACAAATTTTATGGTGAAATCACACCTACCTGGGGAAAGTGCTCACTGTTAGGCACTTTAAATATTTCGGCGAATAATATTACTGGGAGCATCTTGCCTGAGATTCAGAACTCAATCGAACTACATCAACTTGATCTTTCTTCAAATCATTTAATTGGAGAGATTCCAGTGGAACTTGGAAAGTTGACTTCTCTTAACAAGCTTATTTTAACTGGGAATCAACTTTCTGGAGGCATACCTCATTAAGTTGGCTTACTCAAAGAACTTGAGTACCTTGACTTGTCCACAAATAGATTAAGCAAGTCAATCCCTGGGGATTTAGGGTGCTTGTCAAAATTGCACTACTTGAATTTGAGAGACAATCAGTTTAACCTCGAAATTCCATTCCAATTGGGGAATTTGTTTCAACTGTCAGAACTAGATTTGAGTCATAACTTACTCAATGGAGAGATACCGTCTCAGATATGTAATTTGAAGAGTTTGGAGAAACTAAATATTTCCTATAATAACCTCTCTGGTTTAATTCCAAGTTGTTTTGAAGATATGCATGGCTTGTCAAGTATTGACATATCTTATAATGAGTTACAAGGTCCAATTCCCAACAACAAAGCATTTCGAGATGCTCCTATTGAAGCATTACAAGGGAATAAAGGATTGTGTGGTAATGCTAGTGCATTGACACCTTGTAAGGCTCTCATATCACACACACGTGTCATAAGAAAGAGGTTGGTAATCTCCTTTGTTGTTTCAGGAGCACTTGTTCTTTTAACTGTGGTGACTTTAATGTTCTTTTGTTTCCGAAGAAAAAAGCAAGAGTTACCGAAACAACATAGAAGTGTGAACAAGGATGAAATTCTTTCGGTATTAACTTTTGATGGAAAAGCAATGTACAAAGAAATCGTGAGTGCAACAGAGAATTTTGATACCAAGTATTGCATTGGGACAGGTGGATTTGGAAGTGTTTACAAAGCACAACTTCTATCAGGGATTATTTTGGCAATAAAGAAATTTCATTCCCTTCAGCCTGATGAGATAGAAGACCAGAAAGAGTTTTTAACTGAAATAAGGGCATTGACAGAGGTACGACATCGAAATATTGTGAAATTTTTTGGTTTTTGTGTACATTCTAAAGACTCCTTTTTAGTTTATGAGTATCTTGAAAAAGGTAGCTTGACCACATTCTTGAGTAATGAAGCTACAGCAAGAGAATTGGATTGGGGTAAGAGAGTAAATATTTTGAAAGGTGTGTGTAATGCCTTGTCCTACATACACCACGAGTGCTTCCCACCAATAGTTCATCGAGACATATCGAGCAAAAATGTGTTGTTGGATTCAGAATATGAAGCTCATGTTTCAGACTTTGGAATTGCCAAATTTCTTAAACCAAACTCATCCAATTGGACACAACTTGCAGGCACATATGGATATATTGCACCAGGTATATATAATTCATTTTTTATTGTCATGATTGTTTAGGTACTTACGTAAATAAATAAATATGTATATAGTTATGAAATATGATCTCATCATGTGTCTTTCACTTTGTAGAACTTGCTTACACAATGAAGGTAACTGAAAAATGTGATGTATATAGTTTTGGAGTGTTAGCATTGGAAGTGATCAATGGAAAGCATCCGGGTGATATCATTCCTACTTTATCCTCTCCTTTCACTTGGGAGAACTTTTTGTTGAACAATGTTTTGGACGAACGCCTTCCACTTCCTCCACCTACTATTCAAGATCAACTGATAGCAATCGTAAAGCTAGCAATTGATTGCTTGAATTCCAATTCAAAATCCAGGCCAACCATGAATAGGGTTTCTCATATGTTTTCAGCTGCAACAGATCTTCCCTAGGTGCCTTCAAACAATCTAACCAGGACAATAGATTGTGCGTAGAATGTCTTCAAGCTTGCAACAGAATAAAATAATGTGTCATTTTTCTTTTGGTTAATTGTATGGATTTAGTTTCTTAGGCATGCATATTTTGTTTTCGTTTTAATCTTTATGTATTAGCATGCTGTCAAGAGGTAAGGCTCATTACGTCCCCCTCTTTAGGTGTACTTGATTTCTTTTTTGTTTAATAAAATTCCCTCATTCTGTTGAGGTTTCATCAAAAATAAAAAGTTCCAAGACGAAATACATGTTTAACTTGCTTGAAAAAACTTGTACAAAAATATTAAAATGTATGAAATATCATATACCATACACTCCAAAGAATTTAATGTATCTAATTTACTATCTAAGTTTAAGGAAAAATATATATACATGCACCTGGCAAATGGATTATAATGCCTGCTGAGTTTACAACGTGGAACCTCATTTCCACATTCAAATCTAATCATTATCAATTATTTCAGCATAAGTTAGTCTTTAAAATGAAGATAAAAACTTGAAACCAGCTACCAATTGCAAACTAATTAAAACCATAGCAATAAGTTTAGGTTAAATTATTTAAAATTAAGTTAAATGTTGAAACAAACAATAATTCCTTTCAATTTTTAAGAAGTCTGAATTGGAACATGAGAAAAAGAGATGTGCAAGAAAAAAAATTATTTATTCTAAAATGATATTTTTATTGTTAAGTGACGTTAAAAAATATACTTTGAAATATAACTAATATGTACTTAATAACGGAATAATGATGTTATGATGAACACTAAAATTCATTTCTCTTTATGTTTTGGGTCCAATGAGAAAGGAGATAAAATTGGACCCGAATGTGGTGCTCAAGTAAATAGGAAATAGCTCTAAGAGAGAAAGTAAAAGAACTAGAAAAATCAATTCCTAAAAAATTAATAAAATTTAATAATTGACCATCAAATTGACCGTTTTGATATGTATTCATGTATGAATTTTTCATTCAAAATAGAAAAATTTTCTAATTAAAATGAATATCTCAAAAAAAAAAAAAAAAAAAAATGCATTTCGTGGAGAATAGTTAGAAAAAGAGGTAGAGTCTTTAATAGGAATTTTAGGTAAGGCTATTTCAACATTATAATTTATAAAAAAGGGGTAATGTAAAGAGAAATTTTAGGTGCAAACAACACCATCAATCATGATATAATTGACGTATGGTTTTCTTTCACTTTCTCATTAGCCAAACACAATTCTTGAGGTAGAAAACTTTAGAAAATAAGTGAAGATAAATATTCATCATTCGTCACTCCCCAATTTATTGGTTTTCAATTCTAGATAATGGGTCTATTTAGTATGGTTTATTCAAATAGAGCATAGAAGAAGAGCTTATTGAAGTAGAGGTTATGAAAATATGGTTTTTATGAAAAATTTGTTAGTTCTTTGGTTAGGAAAATGTAAAAGAAAATTATAATATTAATTTACCAATAAAAGCTTTAATATACAAGAATAAATTAAGTCAAATTTATAAAGCAAAATAAGGATATTTTTGAAATTTAAACATTTTAAATAAGTTCAAAAAGAACTCAAGGGAGAAGCTCAAATTTTGATAAAATTGCTTATTTTAAATCCTAATAAACATTGTTGACAAGCAGACAAACCCAACCAAATAACCTTACTCCTAGTCTTCTATAGGTAGTGGAGGACCGCCCCCACCCTAGCTTTAGATATTTTTTTTTTTTTTTTTTTTTTAAAGATTTCATTTAAAAAGATAGCAATTTTATACTATAAAACTAATTCTTTTCCCTTTGACCCTTCATATTTCTTGAACTTTTTTTATTCCATTAATTTCCAGGTTCCACCTCTTTCACTAGGTGATGGCTTGGTTGTTCAGGCAATGACTTGATGTCTAACAACTTTTGTACAGTTACAATTAGAGACAGAGATATTCACCTACAAACCACCATGAATGGTGAGTGTTGACAGTTACATCTAATCAGCTCTATTATTTGAAGATCGACCTAATTACATGCATGTATCTCAACCTCTTATAGGTTAGAGTTACTTTTGACTGGTCTGGCCAGTTGGACCAATCAGTAGGATCGGTGTGCAACAGAAACACATTTGATAAATTACATATCAGTCTCTATAGGTTTGAAATCTAGCAAACATGCCCTTGTAGCAGTGCAGCTCCTATACTTTTTTTTCTCTCCCTCGTCGTCACTTTCTTCTTTCTTCTATCACTTTCCCCTCTCTCTTCTGTAACTTTCTTCTCTCCTCTTCTCTTTCTTCTTCCATCCTCTATTCTTCGTCTCTGACTTCTTCACTTCATCCTACTCCTTCCCTTCCCCCTTATTTTACTTGATAGTCAAGAAGGCCTTAGTCGCCGCAACCTGGACAAACGAGGTCCAAATCAGATCTGGAGATTCTATGGCATTTGGGGACACTAGGATCCAATGAAACCTTTTTTTTTTTTTTTTTCTTCGACAAACCCATTTGGTAATTCTCCTACAACATCAGGTTTAGGAAATTCCGATGGCTTGACAACCCATGAGAATGGATGGTTACAATTGGGAGAACAAAGAATGTAGTTTGCAGCTGAAATTTGATTGAAGATTGCACAAATGGACTAGAAAATAATCAAAATATGACTGAATTAGCTATTCGTGTTTGAAAAATCGAAATCGGCCCTAGCATTTTAGCGACCCAATTTGGTCCTTGGGTCAGTTTGATTAGTGCTTCAATATTGTGCAACCGGTCCAACTCCAGGTTGGTCTCGGTCAAGTGACAGTAGCGATTTTCCCTCCAACCCAGACCAGAGTTGGCCTTGGTTCCTAGTCCGACCGATTGAACCGACTAGGCCAAGTTTTAAAACATATCTTTCACACGTACAAGAAGGTAGTTCTATTAATGGTAGATTTTCCAAAATACAGGGGTCTCTACAAATTAGAAAATTACTCAAAATAACTTTCACGATTCATGCAAGGTAGTTCTTTCATAATGGTGACAAGAATGGATAATCAACTCATGATGAGATAAGGTCATGTTTTAAAGAGAGTCTCAGTGGACACAACATACCAAAGTTAGCACACAGATAAGAGAAAATTAATGACAATTAGAGTGCTACCACAGATCAAAGAGTCTTGACAAACAAAAATAAAAGTAACATGTTCATGCTTTATTCATTAACAGAAATGAAAAACTATTCAAGTTGAAACAGTCAAATGGATTTCCTCAAGAAAACAAAGGTGTTATAGTCAAGTGCTTTTGTAAATAAATCACCCAATTGGGATTTTGTGTTCACATGAGCAATTGCAATGATGTTCTCTTCAACTAACTCTCTAACAAATGATGTCTTATGTCAATGTGCTTAATCCTAGAATGTTGGATTGGATTCTTAGAGATGTTAATGGCACTCGTGTTGTCACAGAATATTGTCACGCAATCTTGATCAACACCATAATCATTCAACATTTGCTTTAACCATAAAATTTGAGTGCAACAACTTCCTGCAGCAATGTACTCAGCCTCAGTAGTGATAGGGAGATTGCATTTTGCTTTTGCTATATCACGTGACAAGGTTGTTTCCAAGGTAGAAACATGCACCCAAAGTACTTTTTTGATCATCCAAACTTTCTACCCAATCTATATCACTATCCCAACCGAGCAATTGTTAGAATCAAATGAGTACCAAAGGCCAAAATCACACGAACCTGAAACATATTTCATGATTCTTTTCATTGCATTCAGGTGCAACTCAGATGGATTAGTTTGAAATCTAGCACAAACTCCAACACTAAAACAAATATTAGGTCGACTTGTAGTTAAGTAAAGAAGACTTCCAATCATGCTTCGGTACAACTTATTGTCTACCTTTTTACCATATTCATCTTTGGATAGCTTAAGGGTAGAACTCATAGGGGTTCCAGCATGCTTTGCATTGTCTAAACAAAATATTTTCAACATGTTTCTAGCATACTTTGATTGGGAAACAAACATGCCATTATCCGTTTGTTTAATTTGAAGTCCAAGAAACATATATAGTTCTCCTACCAAACTCATCTCAAACTTATTTTTCATCAAGTTAATGAATTCAAGTGCATGTGAATAAGATGTAGAACCAAACACAATATCATCAACGTAAATCTTTGCACACATGATTTCATTGTTAGCACACTTGATAAAGAGGGTTTTGTGGGCATTACCTCGTTCATAGTTATGCTCAAGAAGGAAAGTTGTCAACCTTTCACACTAGGCCCGTGGGGCCTGTTTCAAACCATAAAATGCTTTCTTCAATCTGAATACATGATTAGTTTTGTGGAGGTCTTGAAAGCCAATTGGTTGTTCAACATACACTTCTTCGGTGAGCATTCCATTCAAGAAGGCACTATTTGAATCAATTTGATCTTGAGGCAACGGGCAACAAAAAGCAATAATCAAATTGATTCAAGCCGAGTAACAGGATCGAAGGTTTCATCAAAGTCGATTCCCTCAACTTGAGTATATCGTAAACCTCCAGAGCAAAGAGCAAAGCACTTTCCTAACAAGTTTAGTCTTAGAATACGGTCTTCCCAAAGCAAAACACTCATTAGAAATATCACAAACTCTACCATAAAAACCAGTTATAGTCTCATCCTCTTCCATATTCAGATTTTCAAAATTAGTGACTATTTTTCTAAGCCTATTTCTTTTAACGGTACAAGTTCCCTCATTCTTGACTTGAAGCCTATCCTAAGCATCTTTAGCAAGCTCACTATTAGCTATGACTTTCATTTGGTTCACATTAACAACATTAAAAAGAGTATTGAAGGGCTTTAGAGTTATAATTTGCCAAAGTTATCTCATCAGCAGTCCAACTAGCAATAAGTTTTAGTCTAGACACTTTATTGTCAACAATAACCGGGGGTGTCCAAACATTCACAACTGTGGACCAGACTCTTTCATCTATAGACTTAAGGAAAGTATGCATACTAGGCCTCCATGTATAATAGTTAGGTCCTTCTAACAGATGTGGTCTTTGAGTGAATCCTCCTTCAGGGAAGAAACTCATGATGAAAAACAATCAGACAGATCCTAACACAACAAACAGAAGTACACCCACAGACACACAGCAGATCTAAAATGAAAATGCAACATAGATCAGATTTCGTACACAACCAGACACTCAGATGCATGTGAAAACAATCATAATGGATAAGGATCAACTGAAGCAACTTATCAAGACACGCTCTGATACCACT